AACCCCCGGTACTTCAGAATGTGACCTTATTTGGAAATAGGGTCATTGCAGATGTACTTAGTTGAAATGAGATCAGACTGGAGTAGGGAGGGCCCTTAATCTAATGTGACTGCTGTCCTTACAAGAAGATGGCCAGTGGAGAGTGAGACATGAAAGGAGAACACTATGTGATGATGAAGGCAGAGATTAGAATTATGCAGCTACAAGCCAAGGAATGCCAAAGATTGCCAGCAATTCAGCAGAAGCTAGACAAGGGCAAGGGAAGATTACCCTATAGGTTTCAAAGACAGCATGATCCTGCTGATACTTGATCTCAGACTTCCAGCCTCCAGAACTGTGAGACAATACATTTCTGTCACTTTAAGCAACCTAGTTTTGTGCTGCATTGTTATGACAATCTTAGGAAATTATAAAGTAAAATACAACATAACTGTAAAGGCAATTATTTACAGTTCCTTGATGTCTCTGCTACGTCTCTTTTCATGAAATAGACAGTGAGTGGCCACAAACTTGTACTTTCAGAATTTCCTGTATTTTGGAAAACTGTGACTCAAATAACAGGTTAGCATTCTAACGATGTCCCTTGGCATTTATTTCAAGATGTTCTTGTCAGCTCCATCTTCTATTTGTTTTTACAAGAGGCAACTATGGTTATGAAACTATATACCAAGTTATGATTTCTATGAATCATTTAGTGCCATTGGAAACTAGGTCCAAGGAGATGGCACATCAAATTCACTTGAGGTTTAAGCAGTTCAGTGATAGTTTTTAAAAAGATGACTGGTATAGTTTTCTGGGATAATGAGAACCCATCATATATTATGAAAACTGACATATTTATTACTCTTTCTTATTCATTAGTTATTATGTAAAGCCTTTTGACATGAAAAATCTGGTCATTAATTTTTCCCTTGTTTGAATTTTGAGATATATTAATTAATTTTTATTTCCTTGGGCTATGGAAATTCAGGTGATAATTTTGGGAGAATATTTTTTGATGAGATATTTTCATAGGAAATCACAATATCTGTTAAATTTTTTTCTTTACATTTAATTTTCTAAAAATATATAAGTATGAACCTTAATTTTATAGGTTTTCTTTTGGAGATAGTAAAGACTCATAAAAAAGATCAGCGAGTTAGTCATAAATAAATATAGTTTGTCCTTTTAACATCTTTCTATACCTGTTCCAAACTGTTTTATGTAGAACATTTCTATTTCCCTGTGACTCTGTTTTTCTGTCTACTGTTTGCTTCAGAGGAAAAATACCTGTGTTTATTTTCTCGACTAAACTGGAAATTTCTTATACCCCAGTTACACTGAAAACATGCTCTTGTCTACAATTATTCTTAGCTAGATATTTAATACTATTACAGAGATGACATGTATTGGGCTAGATTTTGAAATTCCTCTATCTTTGTAGAAAGAGAAGTTTAAAGAATATGGAATCACATAAAGTTGTAGAAACTATGACATCATGTACTGTTAAGACCATCGATCATTCCTGTTTACTTAAATAAGAAAAATGCATTGAATAACGGTTGCTTTCCATATTGTGTATGTGTGCATGTATGTATATGTGAATAACCGATATGTAAAGCTTCTCACTCACGCAAAAGTACTGAATGAAATATCCTTTATTTTAGAAAGGAAAGTACCAATGATTTTGATACATTTTGAAGGTCAGTAATGTTCAGCATAGAGCAATATGTGGAGAACAATAGCTCCTTAGAGAGTGGAAAACATGGTACTCTCATTATCCATAATCTCAGCTGGTCACCATAGTAACAGCATTTTATTTTCCAAGATGTAAGCCTTTATAGTTCTGTAGAATTCACTTCCTAGGCCACCAGACACATCAGCGGCATCTAGTGGCTGAGACCTCAGCTGAGATTTTTGCGCTTTACCGCTTGCTACATTATGTTGAAAAATTGATGTTATGCACATGTGGCTACCTATGCCTATATTTTTCACTCATCATGATGGGTGACTGTAATTTTTCAGAGAAATATTTGTGGGATGTAGTTCAAAACAAGGGTAAGAATGTTAGTACAAAGAGTTATTTTATTAGTATTCCCATTAAAGAGAATTTTGCAGGGGAATTGGGGAGTGGTAGAGGCATTGTGTGTTCTCCAAATATAGAAGGAAGTCAGAAAGGTGCAGTTTCCAGACAGGATGAAATGGTCACTCAAAGAATGTATAGAACTGTTTGCTGGAATGCCTAGGGGAATTACTTGCTAAAGATTAGAAAATATCACCAGTGAATTCTGAGAATATGAAATCATGTTTACCCCTTTTCACTTTGTGATTCATGTATCTGCCCTTTACCATGCAATTTTTAGAAAGTTACGTGGTAGTGATTATTATATATTTTAGATACTTACCAGGGTCTAACATAACTTGATCACAAATGAGCTATTCAGAGATTCTATTTCACCCCCAGGGATATAGTGTGAGGTTTTGGAAAAGACATGGACACTAGATTGAGACCTAGGTGTAGTCCAGCTTCTACCATTTCATGGGTATGTATTCGTGAGCAAAATCAACAGCAGTAGTTCTCAATTCTGGCTACATATTAGGGGAAAAAGTCAGTACCCAGATTCTGCCCTGGACTAATTGAATCCGAGTCATAGGGAATAGAACCTGAGTATAACTTGAAAAAAAAAAAAAAAGTCTGAGTAACCACACATCAGAATTTCCTGAAGAGCTTTATAACAATTATAGTGTCTGGTCTAACTCTACATCTCTCTCCTCATAATATGGACCACTGATCATTGGCATCATTTGGGTGCTTGTTAGAAATTATACACATTTAAGTTTGAGAAGAAAGAAAAACCCATAGAGATTCCAATTCAGGAAGTCGGGTGAACCTGGTAATGTATGATTTTGAAAATGTAGGTGTTTCTTTGTATGCTTAGCTTCCTGTTATATTAATAACTAATGCTGTTATCTAAAAGTTACCCCGAAGATTAAATATGGACATTTAGGTAAAGTACTTTGTGAGCTGCAACATACTATATAAACGTTGTTCTACATTTATTCATTAAGTCAACCACATTTATTGAGTGCCTATGATGTCTCAAGTGCTGTAACAGGGATACATGAAAGAGCTCATGTGGATGACACCTAGGGCAAAAATCAAGTCTTGAAAATAGGTACTTCTTAGTTTATAAATGCTTTTCTAAAATTTTTAATTTGCTTATATTATACCTATTAGGGAAATTTTACCATAAATGAACTTCAAGGAAATGATTTGAATTCATAGAGTACAAGTTAAATGTATATCGGGTATCCAAATCTGTATTTATCTTAGTGGAATTTTTTGTTAGAAGATGCAACATATTATCTGCCTTTAATAAATGTATTAGATGGGTAGTTAAAGTGTATTAATAATGCAATCAAAGAATTATACCAGAAATAAAATTATATAAACTAATTATACATTTTTTAGTAATGATGTAAATTTTTGAGAAAAAATATTATTGGATCAATTTTTTTGCAAACAGACTTTCATGTGGAGAATTGTATGCAGGAAATTTGTTGGGAAGAATTCTTGGAACAATACCTGTTAGGTAATGAGAAGAGCAGAACTGAGTAGAGAGAGAGATCAAAAGGAGTTGCATTTGTATCAGATAATTCATCTCACCCTACAGGGAACTGAAGCTGGAATGATTATTCAAAAATGTCTACAACTGAGACCAGGAGGCCAGGCCTTTTGACCCCTGCATCATGAGGCATTGGATGGGGACTTTATCTAGGAATAGGTGTAAACATAGCTGAAGCAACTTCCTTTGGCTGAGTGTAATTTTCAGGGAAGAAATCAACTGAGATTCCAGCAGCAGTACTCACAGCAGCTAAAGAGTTGAGTTACTCATTTCTGAAGGGTGGAATCTGAATAGTGAATCATATTTAATACAAAAGCACTCATCTGTTTATACATACCCAGTGGTTCCCCTTGACTTAATTTTCAGGCCATCTCTTAACCAGATCCTTTCTATATTTCAAGACTTAACTTTTGCTACTCTGAATAAAATCTTTGCCCTAGCTAAATTGGCAAGCTAAACTCTTCCTGGGACATCTCTTAGAGCCTCTCATGCTATGCTTTTGTTCTCTTCTTAGTATTTGCCAGAAATTTTCTGGCCCCCTTGTCTCTAATTTTCCTGGCCTACTCATTATTTTAACAACTGATTTAAGTACCATCCTGCCTATTAAAACATCTAAGAAAGAGCTTCTCAAACTTGAATTTGCATGTATTAATAAATCACAAAATTTGGACATCTTCTAAAATGCAGGTTCTGATTCAGTAGGTCTGGGGTTGGGTCTGAGATTCTGTACTTCTGACAGGACATGACCATGCTCATGATATCCACTGAAGAAATCTACCTTGTCTCTGTTTTATTAGTAGCAGTTCTATTAATATCTGTAGCATCATTTACTGCATGCAACTTCTCCCTTCTTAGAGTGTTATTATTTTGTACCACTAGAAATTAATCCCCTAATTAAACTGCTGGATCTTTACATTATGGTAATTGTGTTTCATATTTTTCTACATTTCTCACATCACTTGGTATAGTGGTAGTGTGGATTAAGGACTCTGTAGGTATCTGTTGATTGATTTTGTAAGAAAGAACTAATGTAGTTTGTGACTTTTCAACTAAGCATGCCAGTTTTCAGGGGTTTGCAGCTTTATGTCTCCTAAATGAGAACTACTATTCGTTATGGACTTTTCTGGTACCAATAGAGCTCTCCTGGTTCTGCTCCCTGTTCACCCCAAATAGCAAAATATTCTATTTGCCCACTGAGGCTTTTTCAAATACTTCTTTGGCTCTCATATTAAGCTAACAGCATATTGCATCAGTCCATGGAACAGGTGTCATATATCTACTAATGCTCAAGCATACAGAAAATAAAAATAACTATAACTAAAGACTCACAAAAATTAGATTGCATGTTTTTCTTAATTTTCCACAATATAAACCTATTTTCCCCATTACCTCTAGCTTCCAAGGAGCAGTGGGATAGGACATCCAGTGATACCTGTCAATGACCTTTCTTGTTCTTGGGAGGTTGAGAAACAAGCTCATTATTTCTGAAGAGCATCAATTGAAGAACACTTTGAAGCCTATTCCTAGGTAATACTTGACTCTAACATTTGATTGATAGCTATAACAAAATGGCGATTCCAATTTTCTTACTCTGATTAATTTCTCCTCCCCATTTAAAACCCTATTTGCTATCCATATGCTCATATTATTCTGTTGCTATAATCTTGGTAAAAATGTAGACTAGAAAATGTAGCTTTTTCCCCAACTGATTTTAAATAAATTAATCAGAATGGATACTTGCATAATCTAGAAACCTTATGTATCTGGGGATAAGCAAATTGAAATTTCTCATTAGGTGATTGTAAGTTGTGAATTTGTTGCTGAACCTGTGTTCGTTAATGATGCAGTGAGTCACAACTGACTGACTTGGGCTGTTGTCCAGGTAGATGTTTTTTGCTTTTGTGATCATTATAATTTTATGTGTATTGGTATAAAGTTATTGGTATTCAAACTACAAAAGAATTCTAAAGATGCTTTTCAGTGTGCTTCAAATTCCTTCAGAAGCCAGGAGAGTTAATACTAAATATTTGATAAGGTACAATAATTTGAAAGAACTCTAATAAGCTCTTTTAGTCAAAGACTACAGAATTGTGATGAGTATTGCTTGTTACTGGTTGACAGCATATGTATACTCATAAATTGGTTATTTTCTTGGAAACTTGGGCAGCAAGCATAGCTGTGCATATTGATGTTATTATACAAATCAAATATGTTTAAAGAGACTGAGTTAGCAGAGGCTCAATATTAAAAGGCTATGGTTGACTCTTTCTCTTCGTCTTAATTTCTGTATCTCTTTATAATTGATTAATGTTCATTGGTAGGGTAAGTATGAATAATTTATGATTCACATAGCTGCTGGCTTATTAATTGTTTAATTTTAGAGAAAGTAACTATATATTAAAGAAATTCAAGTTGTCACTCTGAGCAGGCAAGTGAATTTATACACTTTGTTACTGCATAGTCCAGAAATAGAGTGTATCAGACATACACCAGTGCTTAAAAAGAAGAATATTAATGAAAAGCTGAAGACATTTTTCTAAGTAAAAAAGGAGCAACTGACTTGGTCTGAGAACTATGTACTCTGGATTTCCTCCCACACCTTACATTATAAATTTTCTTCTGCCTCAGTGATTCCATGCAATGTGCCAACCATAAAATGAAGTTAATTGAATGAACAATGCTTATTCTTTACAAGAAAACATAATTAAATATTGAAAACATAGTTGTATTAACCTCAGATATATTACAATCTCTTTGGAGTTTTAAGAAATGATTTTAATTCTGAGACATTAAAATAAAAAAACATAGAATATGTGATAGATTTCCTTCTTTTAGCCACATGCATAGAAGAACATTGCTGTCTCAGAAAAATACACATTGTTCTCATCATACTTGGTAATAATTTCATTGTTCTCTACATTTATTGCTGGAGATCAAAGGGTGATACAAACTTTATTTGAAATAAATGTTGACTGTCTTCCTTTGTTTGGCAGAGTATTTTCAAATAAATTTAAAGGATGATAGTTTTAATCAGCATGAAAATTTTAATTAGCATGTTTAAAGTTTTAAGTTAGCATGAAAGTTTTAATTAGCATGAAAATAATCTGCAGTGAAGTTTAAGAATAGAAATCTGAAACATTTGCCTTTCTGAACCATAACTTTTAATGTTACATATTCAAGGAACAGAGTTTAAGAAATGATCGATAAGATTGATTTTGCCTGTCTTTAAAATATTTTGGCTCTGATAAAAGTCAGTTTCACGTTAGGGAGTAAGGGGCAATGTTCTTCATAAAGGTGAAGTGTGTTTTGATATGGGAGGAGAAGTAGAATGACTTTAATGATTTAGCCTCCTTCTTGTCTCTTTCATGCATTTAGTCTGAACCATCCCCCCACCCTTGAGGAGTTGTTCTACAGCCCACAGTGCTACGTTGTGGAAGGCAGCCTATGCTTAATGTTGGCACTTTGGTAAATATTGCTGCTTTCATGTATCCATTCTTTAAAAAATTTGTAAGAAAAGAGGATTAGAGAATGCTATGTAATCTTAGAAAATGAAAGAAGAACAAAATGTATGTGTATGTTCAGAAATGGAAGGATGAATGGCATTTTAGTTATCTTGGTTATGTCCTGCTTTTCCTAGTAGACTGTGAGCTTCTTAAGGACATTATGACCCTTGTTTAATTTACCTTTATATATATTTTCATATTATTAAAATAGGGTTGTGGGCTAACATTTGCTTAGATTTTCACAACACCATATCTAAATAATTTCTCCTTCACCTCATTTTATACTCCTTGCCTCTTACTTTGCTTTCTTATATTACTGAATGCCCTCAAATTTGTGCATACCCTGTTTCCTCCTATACACATTAATTTAAAAATGAAAGCATTCTTGCTACTCTTTTGCTCAAAGCTACACTTTGCATTGATGCAATTGATTGCTTTCTCCAGAACATGCTCTATCATTTCTCTTCTCTCTTACTTCCAGGACGTTTCTTCCTCTTGTGGCTACTTCTCAGTTTAATGATAAGCTAATGGTTCATCCACAGTAAAACAATCAAGTGAAAAAATATTAATAAATAAACAAACTTTACTTTGAACATGCATCCAATTTCATCTATTACTATATCTCTCTTTGTCCTGGATCAAACTTTGGAAGAAAGTCATCACTTTGTCTCCATTTCTTTTTGTTTCTCATTCCTTTATCAATGTACTACAACCTGATTTTTAGCATCACTGGTGTTCTGGAAGATCACTCTTGACCTCTAGATTCCCAAATCCAATGGGCACCAGCCCTGTCTTCTCTGATCTCGCTGCTGAACTTGGCCTTTTTATTTTCTTTCTAATTAGACTTTTTTCAAAATTATAAATGAGGCTCAAACAAACTGCTAGTACTATTTTCGTTTTCCTTCTTTTTAGCCAAGTGTATATTTTGTTTGTTCTAGATTTCTCTTTCTTGACAATTGTCTCTATATAGTTTTTGTTCATTTTCTTATGAGTTTGCACTACATGCAGAGTATATTTCAGATTCTAATCTGTCATTATTAGCATGAATTGCAAATACCCTCTTCCATGTACGTAGGTATGGGGTTTTCTCCCAGAGAACTTGCCATAGGTTTTGTTGGTTTTAAAATATTTTTTCATTTCATTGATTCTTTCTAAGATTTTATTTCTTTTACTTTCTTTGATTTTTTTAATAGTCTCAAGTTTTAAACACTTAGTCATTAATTTTTAGTCTTTTTTCTTTATACATTTATTTACGAATATTGTTTTTTAAGGATATATATTTTCCTCTAAACGACCCTTGAGTATCTTACCAAAAGTTTTGTCATGTAGTATTTTTATTATATCAGTGCTATATATTTAAAAATATTTATTATGATTTCTTTCTTGAACCATTTCCTATTTATAAGTACCTTTTGAAAATTTAAAAATGTGTGCGTTTAAAAATATTTTTTTTATTTCAGCATATTATGAGGGTACAAATGTTTCGATTATGTGTATTGCCCTTGCCCCACCCAAGTCAGAGCTTCCAACGTGTCCGTCTCCCAGACGGTGTGCACCACACTCATTATATGTATATATATCCATTCCCTCCTCACCCCATCTGCTCAACACTCAATGAATGTTATTATTATATGTACACTTAAGTGTTGACCAGTTAATGCCAATTTGATGGTGAGTACATATGGTGCTTGTTTTTCCATTCTTGGGATACTTCACTTAGTAGAATGGTTTCCAGCTTTTTCTAGCATAATATAAGAGGTGTTAGATCACCATTGTTTTTTGTGGCTGAGTAGAACTCCATGGTATACATATACCACATTTTATCGATCCACTCATGTATTGATGGGCACTTGGCACTTCTTTTTCTTTGATTTTAATTTTATTACATTGCATACAGAAACATGATATATATCATATTTTTGTGGAACATAAGTGTATTTCTGTCTCTCTGGAACTTTATGCTTAGGCTATTTGAGGTAGTTAATGATCAGTATTTAGAAATGTATCATATGTAAATGCAAGAATGTGTATTGGTTAATTGTTGGGTGTTGAGTACTAGTTAGGTGCATTGGAGAGAGCTTGTTAATTGTGTTATTCAAAATTTTTATATCTCTACTAATTTTTTGTCTTTTTGCTAATTATTGTGAGAATTGTGTTAAAATATTCTACCATGAGGCCGGGCACAGTGGTTCACGCCTGTAATCCTAGCACTTTGGGAGGCTGAGGCAGGCGGATCGCTCAAGATCAGGAGTTTGAAATCAGCTTGAGCAAGAGTGAGACCCCGTCTCTACTAAAAGAAAGAAACTAATTGACCAACTAAAAATATATATTAAAAAAAATTAGTTGGGCATGGTGGTGCATTCCTGTAGTCCCAGCTGCTTGGGAGGCTGAGGCAGGAGGATCGCTTGAGCCCAGGAGATTGAGGTTGCTGTGAGCTAGGCTGATGCCACCACGCTCACTCTAGCCTGGGCAACAAAGTGAGACTCTGCCTCAAAATAAATAAATAAATAAATAAACAATAAAATATTCTACCACGAGTGTGGATTTTTCTCTTTCTCATAATTCTTTCAATTTATTGTATTTTAATTTTAAAGTTATGAATTTTCTACTTTATATAATCTTTTATTGCCACTGATTAGACTGATAGATTTTTTCCTATTATCATACATCTACTGATTTAAAAGTTAAACATGCTATTGCCATTCTTTTTAGTAATTATACATAACATTTTAACATAAATGTATATATTAACAGGTCTGATGATGATATAATTTTTTATCTTTTTTTCTAAAATTGCATGTATTTTGTCCTCAGTTTTGAATGATAGTTTGATTGGGTATTGACATGTGTTTATATTTATTTTATCTCAGTGCATTGAATATATAAATTCTATTTATTTCTGATTTTTATTGGTGCTTGACGGCAGTCTTATTGTAATTCTTTCATAGGTAATATGTATTTCTCTATGCATTCCTTTGTGATTATTTTTCTTCTTAGTCTTTGCTTTATAGCATTACTGCAATGACTACTGATGTAGATTTATTTTATTTATCATGAAGAAAAGTTGTGCTTCTTTTCAACTATTCTTGAAATTTTCAGGTTTTATACTTTAATATATTTCTTGCCAGTATATCTATTCTTTTTTTAATTAAAATTCACATTAAAGGTATATGGAAACTCATAATTCTATTCTCCATGCCTCTTAACTTCATGATCCTTTTTAAACATTTTTGCTTCTTTTTTGTCTTGCTGCATTCCAGGTAATTTTCTCAGATGCATTTTCCAATTAATTAACTGTGTCTTTAGCTGCTTCCATATAGGCTACATAACCCATTGAGAAATATTTGTTGTATTTAAGGACCTAGAAGGCCACAGGTTCCCCACCCCTGGGGAAGACACTCTAGTATCATGTTAAGGGTGTAGGCTCTGGATTTTGGATGCCTTGGTTCAAATTCTACCTCTTACTAGTTTTGTCACTTTGAGAAAGTTACTAACTTCTTGTATCTAAGTATCTTCATCTGTAAAATGGGGGTAATGAGAATTACATGTTTGCAATATGATAACAGTTATAATAACACCTCTAGAAGCAGGTGTTATGAGCACTAAAGTGGAGATAATCCATATAATATAAGCATATAGTAGGTGCTCAGTAAATGTTACTTAATATCATTAGTTTAGTCCCAATATATGGACCATGAATAAGCATTCTAATCTCAGATTGAACTCACTCAACCATATTCTTTCATTTGCATTTACTTTGTTAATAAGATGTAAAGGAATATCATTAAGTATTTAAATTTTTGTACTTTGATGCTTGGAGTCATCATTTCCTAAACTTTTGAATTCTTCAACAAATGATGTTGATAACATTTTTTCATGTATGATATTAAGTCCAATTTGTTTACATTTGTTTTTAATATGAACCATTTGGGAAATAAGTAATAGTACATTTCTATAGCTAGAGATAAATTCAGATCAACCTGTCCTGGACTAACTTTTAAATAAAATCCAGAAAATTAATTTTATGATTAATATCATCTTGTTATATTGAGTGCATAATATAACACTGCAGGGAGGGCAGGAAAATGGTAAATAAATATTGCTGGACAATTACCATTTCTTGGGTGATCTTTATAGTATTGAGAAAAAGAATTGCTTTTCCATTCTTCAGGAGATTGATGACTAAAATAATCTTTCAAGAATGTTACAAAAAAGATAAAAATATTAGACAGGAAGAAAATTTCCTCTTCTCATTTATTTATAGTGGGAACATTGCAATCAATAGGAAAATTGGGAGAGTTTTAAAGGCTTTAGCCTGATGACATTTTTTAGTCACAAAAACTATTGCATGGAAACTAACAGCATGAACTAAGAGGCACCATAGCATAGATCTGAGATATGAGTTATGCAGTAGACAAACCAATCTTGCTTGAGTATAGGGCTTATGAGAAGACATTTTGGGAGATAAATTTAGGGAAGCAGGTTGTGGCATGTTGAAAAGATTTTGAGTGATAGTTTAAAAAAGAAACTTTGTAGTCTGCTAGTCTAGGGTAGGAATCTTTCTCTGCCACTTACTGGCTATACAACCTTGAGAAAATTATATTCTTCTATAAAATGAAGATATTATTAGTCTAACCTGATTGAGTTGTTATAAAGATTAAAGAAACTCATACATTCAAAGTAATAAGCACTGTGCCCAGCATTTTGTAAATAAATAGGCAGTGGGACGTCAGTAAGTAGCTTTGATAAAGGGAGGGACAGGACCAGAGTGCACCTTAGACAGAAATGTTTTTGGTTAGTAGAAGATGGGGGAAAGATTTTATGACCTGATGCAGTGCTTTACAGAAAGGCTTCATTGCACAAAACAAGATAGTCTTGTGGGATGTACTATTATCTGCACCACTGAAGGCATACTTAATAAATGTTTGGTAAAGATGAGTTATTTTTTCCAGTCATATACAAAGTCTGTTAACTTATAAGAAAGCAGTGGAACTTAAAGTATAGAGTAAGCAAAGATACAAGAGCTTTGTTTATCAAGAAAACAAAATCTTAGTATAAAGTTAATGATTCTGTTCAAGATAAGGCAAGGATATCTTTATTTTTCATACATATGAGCAAATATCTAATCATTTCATAGAATTTTTTTTCTTTTTGGTTACTTGTGCTGAGTTCTTAATTTACTTTTACTGCCTCTTCTACATTACATCTGAGTTTATAGGGAAGTTAAAAGAACA